GCCATGTTCGTAATTAAGTTTCTTGCACCCTCAGGAGTTTTATCCACCAACGCTCCTCCACTTGTAGCATCATCCATACTTCGTTCTAGTGAGTAGAAGGCCTTTATAGAAATATTGGATGAGAAGATGTTCACTGATTTGATGATGGAGGCAACTTGCACACAGTTTCTTGAAACGCTCCCAATATTCGTGCAGAGATTCCCTGTTGTCCTACCTCATTCCACAAATTTCTTTTCTGATATTTGCTGCCCTTGAAACTGGAAAGTATTTTTCTAGAAATAGCCTCTTCATTTCATTCCATGTGGTGATACTTTCAAAAGGTAGATAATAGAGCCAATCTTTTGCCGAATCGTTCAATGAAATGGGAAAGCCCTCAATTTAATTTGTTCCTCACTAACTCTTGTAAGTTTCATGCTTGTACAGACCACATGAAACTCCTTTAGATGCTTGTGGAGATCTTCACCTGCAAGGCCATGAAAAGTGGGCAAGAGATGAATTAGTCCAGATTTAAGTTCAAAAATAATGGCAGCATCTAAAGTAGGAAAAGTAATGCATAAATGTTGATGAATCAAATCTGGGCCTGCAAGCTCCTTCAAGGTCCTATTTCCATCCATGACGTCATTTTCTTCTCAATCAAATTCACTTGCAAATAGGATTCCCAGGTTGAGATCGTTTTCTTCAAGATTTCGCCGAGTGTCACTCTGTAACCTATGCAAAATTCTCTAAATTTTCGAACCGTACTACAAATTACCTTCATTAGAAGATCTAGTTATGATCATAAACAATCAAAGAAGCTAAAAATTAGGAAATAAACAAAAAAATATACCTTTTTTTTATTTTTTAGAATGAAATGAACAAAGAAAAAGTACAAAAATAAACTAATTCTCCCCCACAACGGCGCCAAAATTTGGCGTACTGTCGTAGGCGCCCAAAAATAATAAAACCTGCACTTCAAAAAAAAATATATGTAGTAGTGAAAGTAAGGATCATTCCCACGAAGAGTGGTTAGTCTAATTTTATGCAATGTTAACAATAACGGGAGATTTTGTCTGTGATGAAATCAATTCTAGTTAAAAGCAATGCAATTTAATAAATTGGATTAAATCAATAGAATGAACATTGGTCTAAGTCAGTATCCACCGTAGGAATTCCAAACTGGTCATAGATCCGTAACTAATTACCAATTCATATTTTTAGCATTCATCGTTGGAATTTATATTTTCTATTTCTCCTTAGTTGTAATTAACCAAAAAACAAGTGATCAAATCAATCCTCGTTATCAAATAACCCAAGAAAAGCACTTAAGATTTAATTTAATAATAGCATGAAAAGCTAGAGAAATCGATAAAACTAAACAACACAATCACAAGAAGTCATGTTTAATCTAGTCAAATATCCTCCCTATAATTTAATAACCTCTAAAGCAGCTACTAATCAAACTCTAGTTGCTTCATAATGTCAAAGATATCAAATAATTATGTATTAGTTCTTTAAACAAACAGTCGATCGAAGTATATGAACATCAAATAGGCCTATTAGAATTCAAATACAACAACCATAAAATCATGCATAAAAAAATACTCAATACATAAAATATGAATGAAAACAATGAGATTTATTTAGATCTCACAGTTTGAATAATTCCTAGGCTTCAATATCCTTTGACCAAAAGATGAAGTTTAACAATACATCAATTATCTTTAAGCAAAAAGAGAGAAAAGTCTTTTGGGAGCGTTCTCTAGGTTTTTGCACGAGTTTTGGACTTTTAAATCGTGAAAAATGATTGTTGCCATAAGTGGTTGGAAGAAATAAGGAAATAAAAATTCGCATCCAGATTCCTCTATGCGGTCACGAGGAACAATTGAAATGTAGCCTGAAGTTCCCTAGAGGTCACCATGCGACCGCATGGATTTTTATCTATGCAATCGCATAGTTCAAAGGTCTTCTCCACAAACAGCTTTCAGTGTTGTAGTTATAACTTTTTCTTCTAATGATCGATTGAGGTGATTCAAGATGCATTGAAAATATAACTCAAAGGGATAAAATTTGGTTCAGATGTTATCTTCCAATTCGATCTTCGACCATGTCGAAAATGGGTCTCAAAATAATGCTAAAAACTGGTGCATAACTTTTTTTGATAGGAAATTGATGTGTGATTATTCTTTGATTGTATTTCATCTCTTTGACTTCTTTCTTCATCCAATTGACTTCTAACAATCTTGAATCTTCATTCCGTCACTCGTCTCATCTTGGAATTATTTGCAACTTGGTCCCTGAGCTTTTCACTTTCTTCCATTTAGATCATTTCTTGCTCTTTTCTTCCAAATTCTATATTTTCCATCCATTTGCAACCTGAATCAAAATATAAGGGTACTCAATACATTTAGACATTAATTAATCACAAAAGCATAAGGTAAAGGAATGAAAAATATGACATTTTACATTCCTATCACTGACCATCAAAAATCAAGCATATCAGGAGCTTCACATTTAATAAATCACTTTGAGTTTAACAGTAGAACTAAACGCAGTAGGCAAGCCAAAATTTGACATTTAGCCATTTGAATTCCCAAAAAATGACTATAATAACACCAAACAATAAGTAGACTTTTTAAGATTGAACAATAAGGAAATAACAAGACATGGAGTTCACGAGAGGTCAATCACTATTTTATAAGGCCTATGGAGTATGATAGATTTACATCCATGGAAAGTCTTGGTCAAAATACAAGGAAGAAGTCCAACCATAATTGAATAGGACTCATAGTGTGTACATTTATGCTATCCTGAGAAATAAAATAAAGAACTTACAATTTCAAGCGTTTTGATTTGTTGCAGTTACGTCACTTACAGGATTCATCATCTCCTGATTGTTCCAACCTACGTCCGAGAATTTAATTCATGTTATTTGTCTGAAAAAGGTTAGATGCAGATGAAAACTAATTCTACAATAAAGAAGACATGCATCTTCTTCTTTGGACTGTTTTGATTGATCTCTTCATTGACCATATATCCAAATTCTGAGCAGGCATTTTCCATAAGAACACTATTTTCAATGGCACAGATTTCTTTTTCTGAGTTAATAGGTAAAGTATAGTTTAACAATTCTTGACCAGTGCTCGGAGGTTGAAAATTGGCATTTGGGCTTGGACTAATCGATACTTTTCAAGAACTTAAAGCTTCATGCTTGACAAATTTGTAGTCCTTTGTTGTTGTTGCTAGAGTATTTAAATGCAAACCAATGCCAGGTAAAACAGAAATCAATACAAAAGACAAACAAAATTAGTGTGAAGTGTATATTGTTTGAAGTCATCATACTTTAATCATCGTTACTTCACAAAAATAGCCAATAAAAGTAGAATGGTCTTCAGCATAATAAAACTGAGATATGTTACAAGATATGAGAACCTATTAAGAGGAACTCACAAACAAGACGTTGAAATATCTATTAAACATAACTAAATAAAAAGCTTCAGGGTAAAGGAGGAGAATCAGTACATACTTTTTGATTAGCTAATAGTGGAAGGCCACCAATATACACTCGACGTGCATGCCTTGTATCCTAGGGACGAAGTAAAGATTAGAAGAAAAGTCAAACTTACATAAGCCAGTAAAGGAGAAGTATTACCTTTTTTTTCCCTGCTGACTCATGGCTTGAATTGGCAACAACGGACTGTAACCCAACTACTTAACCTATTAGCATGCATTGTATTTCTTGAGAAAAACGGTGGTAGCCTTCTAAAATTGATAAAGATAGCACAAAATAAAAGAATAAATTGGTAAATTGGTAAAATGACAGAAGCTATAAAGTGTAACGTTAGGAGACGAGATATGAAAATGTACTCACTTGACAAAATCATTTCTAAGGATTTGCATAAGAATGGTAGCCAGGAAACCAATTAGGAGAACTGTTGCACGGCAGTTGATTATTGGGAACCAATGGATTTCCAAGTGATGGCATAGTGAAGAAGATTGAGTACTTCATTATCTTCTCAAAAGGAGTGTTACTTTCCTTCCATTTTACCAAGTACATGAACTCTACTTCAACTTCCTTATCCTCAATAATTGTAAATCAGGTTAAACAATTTGCTGCTTGGTTGAAGACAAAATATTATGTTATTGAATCAAAACGCAATCAAACATGAAGATAATGTCAGAATTCGCCTTTCCAGGCCCCATAAGAACTGGCTTCAAATTTGTTGACCCCCCAACCACAACTGAATTGTTTCCAAAAGTTAAAAAGAAATTCATTAGTGAAATTTAAACCATGCAATTTTATGAAAATAAATTCTGGAAATAATAAAAACTTGCTTTTGCAGATGAGGAACTTTTTCCAAGGATAGCCAATATCAGTTAAGATTTTGTACAAAGAAATCTAATAAAAACAATATTAACGATTTAGAATAACTTATTATAACATATCCAATAATTTTCCTTAGTCAAAATACGAATATATAATTCCTTTGTTCACATAAACACTATCAAGTCTTAGCATTAAGCGAAATATGATCTTTCAGGTGATATCATGACAAAAAAAGATTCAAACTAATAAATCTGAGTATCAAATTAAATAATTTCACACAAACACAAATAGGAAAAGATGACCTTTTTCTAATCACAAGTTTGTATAAACTTAAAATTGCACCACTAGGACTGAAGAAAAAGAAAATGTCCATTCGATTTAAAAAATGAGAAATCAATCGAAGAAACTCTACTCAGAAAAAACATAATCAACAAACAAAGAAAGCAATTTCTGTGAAATTTCAAGAATTTACAAAAATGCATCTAGAAAATTTAAATTATAAACACTGCAAAATTGTACATTGAACAAAAAATGAAAATCCTGATTAAAAAAACTACCTTTGGAGAGACAAAAGAGGCGAGCAATGAAATTCTGAAAATCCTAAAAAATGTATACAAAAACTCTAAATTAAAAATTCTTCAAAAATGCACTTTAAACAAAACAAAATAACTAAAACCTAGGTAAAAAATCTACCTTCTGATATCTTGTTGCTTGAATCCATGTGTTTGTTTTTTTAAGCCATTTCCCTTGAAAGAGGGTACTGGTTGCCATAATACTTTGTACGTCATATTTTGAGCTAACGAAGTTGGTTACTGCATTAACCCCTCGAAATTTTATAGCTGTTGCATCGTATGCTTCAGGATCTTCTTCTTGAGTATCTAAAATATAGTTAAAATGGTTATGAAAAATAGAAACAATTTTTTTCTATGGTAATTTATTTATTACAGTGACTGTAAACAAGTTTATTTCTAGTAAGTACACAAATGTAAGAATTTCAAACAGAAACAAAATCTTACAAGACTCATTCATATTTGAAGATAATTTCATAGGATTTATATGCCAAGGACCAGTTTAAAGCATAAAATAAAAAGCAATTCACACATATATCTAAAGATTTAAACAACTCACTATATGTCCCCAAATAGAGGTTCTTGTTTCCAACAACTCGGCCAATCCAAGTTTGGCAATCTATGTTGAAATTGTCTGCTTAAAAAAAAGAAACAAAACTTCAATGAAGTGGATGAGAGCATCATTTTTAATTGAAGCCTTAAGCTAAAATAATTCAACCAACTTAAAAATCTAAATTGTACACATAGAAAAAAGAAAAAATAATAAATTGAAATTACACAACATCTCAAAGTAAAATGTTGTACAAATAAAAAATAATAATTTTTTGACAATAAAATAACCATAAACTAAAAACTTGTAAAATCGACATACCTCATGTCGTTAATATCCACCCAATGGTAATATAACTGTACACATAGAGAAACATATAAAGAAAAATTCAGTTGTAAAAATAAACAATATTTGAAAGCAAAATCATTAGAAGTCGACCAATATTTCGAATTAAAAAAATAGGTGAAAACCGAAAGAAAAGCCATAAGATGAATCAAGGTGACACAAATTATGTTGACAGGGAATCGTCAATAAGTATTTATATATTACCTCCTGAGAAATCTCTATTCCTTCAGTGAACTAAGGTGGGGGGAGTGAAAACAGATGGAAGCGATTCAAAGACTAAGAGGATTGGTTGTTTGAGTGATGAGCATGGACTTAATTGGGGAAAGATTGTTGAAAAAATTAAAGATAGGGGAGTCCTGCATGAAAGTAGAAAACCAGTCATTAATTGAAGAGGAAAAAGCCAGAAAAAATAGAAAAGAGGAGAGAATTTTCCTAGAAAATGAACAACTTAAATACTAAAATAGCAATTTTGTGGTGGACAAAAATGTAAAATCCAGATATTTACGTAGTATAGATTTTACATTCATAATTTCAACATCGATGAGCAGTTTCACAAGATAAAGAGTGATTATAGCTCAATAAACATGTAACTTAAAGACATACATAGTGAAATCAATGGGTGTACATAATAAATTAAAAAAGATTGGTAAAATGTGTTCCATTTGTTCACCCAAGCTCAACTGGGGCATAAGTTACTATTATAGTCTCTAGATACCAAAAAAAAAAAAAAAAGGAAGAAAGCATATACACCATAAAACTAAATGATTTAAGAATTTTATTAAAAACAAATTCCTCAAATCCTATAGAGGAGCAAAAATTTCAAAGAAGAAAAATTAACAAGATTGATGTGATATTAATTTTATACTATGATAAGATGCAGTAAGAATATAGAATCCATTCTCTCAATAAGATTTGTTAGATGCAAGAGTCCATGACAAACCAAAAAACAAAGTCGAAGATTAACAAACCTATAATTCGAAGATCAATCGAGAGTGAGAAATTTGCAATTCTATTCAGTAGCAATGCATAACAAATGAAAGAGAAACTTAGACACACACATACCAAATTGCTGAAACCCCATATTCCAAATTTGTTCAACCATCCAAAAAGAACAATTAACCAAAAATCAAATAAAAAATGATCCCAAAGTAAGATGAAGCTCTTTGGTAAAAATTGTGAGCGTTGTTAATTTTTTTTGTTAATAAATATAAGATTATCGATCAAATTGTTCGAAAAAAATGGCATCTAATAATACTTTCCATGAGAGGTCTTAACTTGCGAGAATAATAGGAATACTGCCAAGAATAAAACTAATCTAGCAAGATGTATCTCAAGAACAAAATAAACCAAAAAGACGCATGAACCCATTTCAAATTTAAATATAACTAATTGTATGATAAGTAATGCAAAATAGACCTATAGAAACTAAAATGCATAATAATTAAGGATCATTTCCACATTGTTTCCTACGTAAATTTATATGAGTTTCAAATGAAACCATATCAGGAAGGACATGAACACAATAAAATGCCACTGTTAATCTCTTTCTCAGATCTCAGCAATCAAACCTCTCATTTCTAAACAAATTTTTTTCCAACATAACAAGGAAAACAAATATCCTTTCAAACTTTCAGTTCCTTCACGTATAAACTCAAGGGAAGCAATGAAGATAAAGCAATTAAGTAACATTAAATTTTAGAACTGAAATTCAAGCAAGAAATCATCATATGAAAATTAATTTTGACACTAGCATCAAGTTAACTAATCAACTTTTAATTTTAATTTTTTTAACGTTTCACCGAGAGTGAGGCTTTCCCACGGTAATGGAAAGGTCAGCGGAATGCATAAAAAGAACAATAAAATATGTAAAAATGATCGTATTCTTAATTTTTTTCTTTGCATTTTCTATCATCATCAAGGATAGCACAAAATTGAAGAAGAAACAAGAAAATCCAAATTCATACAAGAGCACAAAACCCAATGAAATCCAAAATGTAAGGCTCTTAACTAGCGATTAGAAGAAAATTTTGAATAAATACACACATATATAAATAGAGATAGAAAGAGATATTACAATATCAACAGAGGCTTTCATGTGCTTGACAAGAACAACACTGGTTCCCTTTAGGTTGGTGTTCAACATAAATCAAGAAAGTATGACAACCAATTACAAAAGAATGGCATAAATAACATACATGATTACAAATGCTTACGATGAGTAGAATATCATTTGATGCTAAATTATCGAAGAGATTTTTCTGCACGATTTGAATCTATCACTGCTCAATCAAAAGAATAGTATGTAAAATCGGTTCTTCACGGCATTAAACAAATTTTCATAATATTTAAGTTAATGTTACAAAAGGGGGACTAAAATAAGTGAAAATAATACTTACAAAAAAGTTATAGTTTTATAAACGTATGAAGGAAAGAATTTCTTTGTAAACAATATTTTTAGTATGTGTATTCTGTAAATTTTTTATGCTTAATGGTTTAAGTAAAACTTTAAAAGATTTACTTGTTTTAGCTCTTGACAATGCTACATAAAGTTGACCATGAGAGAAAACTAGTTCGGGAAGATACAAGCCAACGAAATCAAGTGTTTGACCTTGTGCTTTATTTATCATCATTGCAAAGCATGGCCTAATAGGGAATTGATGTCTTTTGAATGAAATTGAAGTTTGATCACTTTTTAGAGGTACAAAAGGGATTCTCAGTAAGAAAACATATTTTCCACAATACTCACCAGTTGTAATTCCAGCAAGAATTACATTCTTATTAAATTTTCTAAAAGTAAGGCATGTTCTGTTACATAACCCTTCAAAATGATTGATATTCCACAATAACATTACAAAATAGTTTATTTTAAACTCCAATTCATGTGGTGGAATACCATTTGGAGTCAAAGTATTCAATAAATCTTCCTGTAGGCTTTGTTTTGACTTGTCAATTGCCTCATCAAAATTATAATATGTGTAAATTTGATCAGAAATCTGGTCAAGTAAAATTTGGTTAATATTAACAACACATTTATTTATAGGCGTAAGAATTACTCGATTTGCCATGGCATGTAAATTATCAACATATGCTTCTATATTTGGAAAAAGTGACTTATTAAAATTTTCAAATATGTAATTTCATTTTCAAATGATACAATTATATTGTGTGGAAGCTGAATGCAATTACAATTGTATTCTAGTTCCGTTCCAATTTCAATCCTGAGCAAGTACTCACAAAATGTGGGATCTAATTTCGCTCTCATATTTTCAACCAATGGTAGATGTGAATACAAAGGTCATAGGTGAGAGAAAATCAAGCTAGCTCTCATTATGTCTTTTTTTCGTTTCAGTATCACTGGTAAAACTTGTTGAAAATCTCCTCCTAGAACTACTACTTTTCCATCGAAAGGAAAGTTGCAATCAATTATATCTCTGAGCATTATATCAACAGTTTCAACAGCACAACGATTCACCATAGGTGCTTTATCCTGGAGTATTAAATTTGACATTTTCAACAAAGTCCCTAGAGTTGATTGCTTACTAACAGAACAATTAACCTCACCAACTATTTCCAAAGGAATTTTAAATCTTGAATGAGCTGTCCGACCTCCAGGTAAAAGAGATGCAGATACTCCAGAAGATGCAGTAGCCAAAGCAATTAAGTTTTGAGACCTCACACCAGCTAGGAGCGCTTCATATAAAAAAGTTTTACATGATCCCCCTGGACCACCAATGAAATAAACTCCACTTGATTTGGAATTTACTTTTTCCATAATTATATTGTACACAAATTATTGCTCATTATTTAGGCTTGCTGCACAAGCAAAGCCTCTTTCAATATCTAAATTTCCTGTCTCATCTACCATCATTTTTCTCAACCTTTCATTTTCATCTATATTTACACTGAATGACACTATCTTATAGTCATTTATGTTTTTACCCAATGATTCTAAAATTGAACCTATGTCTTCTAAAGCCCGTAGTTCAGTAGCTTCCAAAGGTATATTGTCATGTATATAATCATCAGTCATATAAACTTTAAATTTATCCAACAAAAGCTTTGGATGATTGGGATTGCAAAGTATAAGAAGCATAGCAAAAAGACGTCTTTAAGAAATAGGCATTTCAAAAACAACAGCTTCAGATATAAATTCTTCACAATGATTATCTCCACTTAACAACCCATTTAAAAGTGATGCTTCTCGATATGTATTAACAATTACTCTATTTGAAGTTTGTAAATCATGAAATGATGTTGAACCTCGAATATGATTGAGAAAAACCCGCAGGAAATATCGTTTTCCTTCATATGGACTCGCTGTGACAATTCGTCCTATAATAGTATGTTTCTTTCTTGGAGTCCAAATATTCTTAGTTGAATTTCAAACAAAATGGGTTGGAAAATCTCGATACAATAGTATACGAGCAAATTCATTTGCTTCATTTACTCGAAAAAAGTCTATTAACATTGTTCTTTCCATATTTTTCGTTCTTAATAATAGTATATAAATCATCTTGATCATCATATCTTACTTGTTGATGATTTTCAAAATGAAGTTGTAAAGAATAAAAAATTGGATAAATTTCTGCTAAATTGAACGAAAAATCCTCTACATAGTTTCAGGTGGAGATATCCATCTGGCAGATTAATAAGCAGAGATTTCATCGATTTCTTTCTCTGTTTCATTTGTGGTAACTGAAAAATAAATACGATCATGTCCTTCGTACACATATTTATACAAATATTTTACAGTTTTAATAGAAGAACATACTTCAACATTAATGTGGCCGTCAAATTTAGCGCTCAAATAAGGATTGTATGATACAACCCATCGATTGTAACATTTGACCTCTAAATTTAATAAAAATAGCATTACCATGACGTTTATACAATGGATATGAGTTATCACCGAATATAGTATTATTACAAAAATTCCTATGGTATTTATTTTTACAACTTTTATTGCTTCCATACATACATTTTTTTGGATTAAGGTCTCCACAAGGGCCGTGCATATTGTGCTTAAAAATAATAGAATGAAGATAAAGATATGTATTTTGGTTAGGAATTTCACATGAAACTATCCTATCAACATTTGCAGCAAAACAAATTTTGTGGCCAAAGTTGAAAATAACAATAGATGTGCATAAGGAAGCCCTCTTTTTTTTTTTTTTTTTTTAAATTCAATAACATATATATGCACAACAATAGGGCCAAAGATGTTATTTTTATATAAATCATTTTTTAACTCTTCTAATTTTGCTCTAAATATACGTATAATTAGATCTGGTCGATTTTGAATCTCATCGTTGTGTTTTAGCTCTTGCCTAATTTCTAGCTAATTTGGATTACATATTATGGTTGAAAATATATCTGATTTTCCATAACATTGTACAATAGCCATTGCATTCATATAACTCATTCGCATATCTCTTCGCCCACATGTAAAGGACTGTGGCAAAACAAATTTTCTTCCAATTTTGTACCCTCTTGTCTCTCCATTTTGATCGCTGTCTACAATACCTTGGTAAAGTTTAGCTCGAATTTGTTTTTGGTTGTTACAAAAATAGTCTAATCGTGCAGTTTCGATCTTAACATACATATCTACAACATACTGTTGAAACAATCTACCACTATGAAGCAAAACAGACTTACCGGAATGCCTAATTTGCAATTTGTATGAATACTATTCTCGACAAGAAACCTGAAACCGTTGCTTTGTTCCATTCAACATTGCAAAACAAAATGAAAATGAAATTAATCATTTGTTAACATTTACACTGCTAAACTTAGTAGAATTCACAATAAAATATTTTTTCAAACCTTGATTTTCTTTTTCTATAAATTTAGCTGCAGAGGTAACTACAGTTGGAAAAGTAACTAATTTATACACATGTTTAGGCTGAAAATAGGTCTTTATGCACCTCTCAATGCCTTCATGTCAACCAGATTCCTCATATGGTAAAAGTAACGAATACTACAAAGGATCATAACAATCATAGTAATAATGAACTCTATGTGAATCACCGGATGATAATGTCACGAACACGAACATTAGCATTCCCATCATCTTCAACCCATACAGCAGCTACTTGAGATGTTGTAGGAGTATTGAAAACTCTTTGATCAAGTCCTGAATCACATCTTATGTGTATTCGATGGTCTTGCAAGTTAGTTGTATGACTTAAGGACCTAAAGAATTTATTATATGGATTTACCTTAAGGATTTCAATTAGAACAATCAAAATACATTGAACAAATTTTTTTTTAATTTTTCATACGATTTTGAAGTTCATTATCTGTATTATAAAAGTATAACTGCATATAAGATGGCAGACTGTTCTGTGGGATAAGTTCATTTACGTAATGATATACTTATCCTTGAACCCTGAATGTGTAATACCTCTGTATGATTTGAAGAGCTCTTTGTCGTATTTGACACCAAATGAAGTGAAAGCAAAATGATTATTATATCCCCTTGTAATCTTTTTAAATTCCATACATTTAGGTTCTTTAGAAGTAAACAAGTTTTACAGTTCAGTTGGTGAATCAGAAATACAGATATGAACTTTTCCATTAGAGCAACAGAAGTTTTTACTTTCTCTATAAAATTTTCTTGCACCACAATATTTACAACTATTGCATCTCATTAATACATATGAAGTCATTGGTTTGTTCAGTACATTAAAACTACTTCGTGATGCAGAATTGGAAATATCATGCGTCTGTTGGCTTGAAGTAGAAGCCTCAAAATCATGGTGCATTATAGATTGTTGCATTCTTTCAATGTTGGAATTATTAATTTTCAATGACATGGGATCATTTATCCTCTTGCAACGATCATTGCATCTAGTTCTAAGTCGATTTCGCCTATCCCTTTGCCTTTGGTTATGTTGTTGGTGATGGGACAATGTTTCGAAATTCAGAAAACCAGTCATTCTATTAGAACATGTTTTCGAAACATCCATAAGAACAATTAGATAACTTATCGAATAGTTGGAGCCCAAGGTAACCAACAAGAACTAAAAGAATTGAAAAAAAAGGCTACTAGCACATATATTACATCATACATATGTGGAAACTAAACTTTTAAGTAAAATAAATTTGCCTACATAGAATTGTTTAAGACTTTAACCGATTTACAATACGTAAAAACATGATAACTAACATAGCATAAATTGTACTTTTTAAAATATACAAACTATAAACATCCAACCTAAAGCAATAAGGAATTTGAAGGTTATCATTATGTTATTTGCTCTTTCTGGTATTTAATGATGCAGTTTATTGACAATGGAGTTAGCTATCAACCCAATGGTTGAGCTTATCCCTACATACTCATGCAAGTATTGCACTTCCAACTGTCGTGGTCATTATGGAAAAATAATTAGAGGTACACTACACATAGCAAGCACTAAGATTTATAATGCTATAAACATTAAACACAAAACCCTTCACATTTCCAGACCTTTGATTAGGAATTCTGACGTTTAATATGGCCTTTATTCTAGGAGCAGGTTCGTCGATTTTAATGGTGGTAAAGAGCTGGCATTGGTTCCATAAGTCAATTATATGGTTCACCAAAGCATAAATCTATATAACATTATTTATTAATTTGTAAGAAATGTCAACAAAAGAACATAAAAGAATAAGAAATCTAAGCTTGACATTGTTCAAAGCCGCAAATAAATTAAATGGAACTTCAAAATATTGCAGAACACAAGGTAAGAGTACTAAAAAAACGTACATTGGAGCTAGTATCAACTTTAACATCTGTCGTGATATTCTTGTGCTTCTCTTCAACTGAGCATTGATATCAGCGAAAAAATTCCCTTTTTTTGTTCCTGGTGATGTGAGGGCCAGCAATTGGAGAAAACAAACAAAAATATATTAAAAAATTTGAGGTCGTATAAACTAAGATTGATATCAAGATATACCCATCAGAATCATCAATGACAGTGGCTACAATCAGATCTGAACACCATGAATAGCCAATAAAGTTACAAAATCTAATCTATAAATACATAGTTCATACAAAAAGGTTCAATAACACATAATGATCTGCCTTCAAGAGATATGAGGAGGAAAAGACAGTAAGTCTGACAAATCCAACATCACATTTATTTGTTCAATAGACAGCACTCGGAAAGCAACAGAATGGTGTAAATATTGCATTGAAAAGGAGAATTTGATAGTTTCACAACAAAATCATTTTTAGTAAATCGATAGATTATATACATTGTTGGATCAATTGCAAGTTCCAATAACAAGCAAAAGTAGTGAACTTAATAAGTTTAACTAAATTAGTTCACCAAATGGAGATGTTTAACACCAGCAAATAAATTATGAAATGAATTTCTTCTCAGTTGTAAACATCAAAAGTGTTTGAATAAAAAATGGTGGAGTATAAGATTCTAAAATATGTGTCTATAACGACATACAGATACTGATAGAGAGAAGACCTTTATACAATTATATTCCATTTCTATAATCTCAGAAATCCTAGAGTATCTTTTTAGCAATCTGTGTATCGAAAACATGTAAAGTCAACAATCCTAGCCTCCTGGATAGAAAAGCACTCATAAAGGTAGCTCGAGGGACGTTCGGATCAAAAAAGAATATCGAGGAATATCTTGGATCAAAAAGGAAGCTTGACGGGATTGTATTGGCTTGCTCTATCTACTACATTTGGATAACAAGGAACGAGATGATTTTTTTAGGATCATAGGCCACAAGATGAATATCGAATATCAACAAATGTCGGTCAAATTCAAGTCAGAAGGGCAACTGAGCCAAAAGTCAACAAAAAAATATCAAACACAGATTTCATAATTTGGAAAAAAAATACGAAATCAAAGCAAACAAAAAGTTTAAATTGCTAAAAAGATAACAGATTAGTTCTGAACCTTCATGTGAAAGAAAATCGAAAGAGTATATTGCTAAGTTGAAGTAGATACAAAACAACACAATAGACTTAGGACATCGACAATAACGAGTAAGTTCTATGCATAATCTAATTGAACATTATCAAAGGAAGATAAACTTATAGAAGGAAAAGAAAATTCCTACCTTTTGACTGAAGCGAAACAAAGAGGAGAAAATTCCAAAGATGGATAGAAGTCAGATTTTGTACAATGATCCCAAAGATAGATATCAATGAAAACCTCACACAATATCAAAGAACGAACATCAGATTGAAATGATAAGGCACGCTGAAGCAGAAATCAGAAACAAGATATTAAACACCTCATCCAGAAGTTTAAAAAAAAAAAAAAAATTTGCACATGGATTTCAAAAATAGAAACTTGTAAACCTGCTCCCCAACCTCTTCATTTTCAACATCAATAAACCTCCTCCTTTTCTCCAATCCCCTCTTTCATCTCACATTTCCTAACATCATTTTATACCCTCCGTCCAATAAACCATTATTATTAGCTCGAATATATGGTTCAACAGAAAGTAAACCCCATATAAACAACATTATTTTTGAATTTTTAATTTTTTGGCATGTATTATTTGGAATACAAAACTTTTCTAAAATCTAGAAAATCAAACAAGAATGTATAAACACCAAAAGAATCAGAGTGTAGATTTAAATGTCACGTCATCGGTCATTTCAAGTGAAATTTCACCTGAAGTACGAAGACATGAATATGCATAATGCATTCCAACTACTTTTCCCATAAAATATTCCTTTCTTTCTGAATTAGGGCATGTGATCTTATTTGTGCAAATTAATTGATTTTGGTAGTGATTTTATGCTTCTTAAAAGACCCTAATATATATGGTGTGGCTGTCAATATCTCTTGATCGATGAAACATTACCGTGACACTTGTAGTTGATAAAAAGTTGTGCTCACATAAGGTAAATGTCATACTTGTTTGACATGTAATATTAGATATAGTAGAATGAGATTGTAAAATTTTGTTTACATTGATATTATTGACCACTTGTGTTATTTGAGAGAAAAACTACTTAAATCAAACAATTTCCACTTTTCTATTGAACAAGGGGGTTGTTTGGGCTCACACTGAGCATAGGAAGGTGCACTGTCTACTGGGATACATTTGAAATGGATCAATTCTTTGGATTGGAAAACTGATTTTTTACTTACGAACTGAACTACAACCTCTACTCGCTACCCAAACTGAGATAGAAAATAAGGACGGGGCAATATTATTCGACTCCCAAAAAACACCACTAACTTAACTTCTACAAATCGAATTCAAGAGTCTCAAGTCTTGAAACCTCAACTTTTGTTGCTCGTAAGATTGTCAACAATTCATTCTAAAACCTGTTTTTTTTTCTTTTTCTTTTTTTTGCTTTTTTAAATAATTAAGAAATATACAAATCAAAACTCTATGTTTCCAAAATCTAGCTTCTTCATTTTTTTTAATCAGCTCATTATCAGATGATATGATAAGAATTTAAGAAAGCAAACATTAATTTTTTGTTGGTGAGGTTATAAAAAAGCAAAACCACATCCCTCCATTCAGTCCAATTTGTTCACATATATGAGGTGAGAATCCACCAAACTAACGATGGAATCATAGTACGAATGCACCAAATTTACTTTAGTTATATTTTGACTCAAACATTTATCTTGAATTTGGTACATTGTATTAAATCTCATTGAACAAAGAGAGAGGATTACATAAGTTTAAACTTATCAATTACTTAGAAGTTATCTTTATTGAATTGGAGATATGGATCATTCAATCTTGCGAATTAGTCAAGCTTATGAGTGGAAAAGAGACATTCGATTTTTGAACTTTTAAGAACATAGGAATTTATCTTCATGCATGTTACAAGAAAATCCAACTTTTTTTTCCAGAAAAGAAAAACCACACATTTAATATACTACTATGATCTTGAAAATATTGAGTGCATTTTACCTATTGGTACAAAGAATTTTGTTATATATTATTATCAACAATATCATTTTCCTAAGGTATGAGTAAGTAGAGTTCGCCCATGCAACAAAAAATTTGTACCGTGATCGACCCCTCATTTGCTTAAACGTCTTTCTTTTTTATTTTATTAAATTATGTCCAATTGAACTATCAAACATGTCCCTAATATTTTCTTTTTATTGGATTTTTTTTTCAATTAAATAAAGCTCTTGACTTGGTAATGTATCATTCCAAGTCTCCAAATTATGATATGGCACCAATCACTAATGACACTGGATGATTAATACATTCAATCTCCACTTAGCAACTAATAAGACATAAAAATAGAAATCATTTATCCAATGAAGAGATTTCTTTATCCCATGTTGAATTTTTAATTTTTTGACATGTATTATTTGGAATATGAAACTTTTCTAAAATCTAGAAAATCAAACAAAAATGTATAAACACCCAAAAAATCAGAATACAACAGAAAGTAAACCCCATATAAACTACAATATTTTTTGAATTTTTTATTTTTTGACATGTATTATTTGGAATACAAAACTTTTCTAAAATCTAGAAAATCAAACAAGAATGTATAAACACAAAAATAAAAAATAAGAAATAAATCAGAGTGTAGATTTAAATTTCATTTCTATTACATGAACTTTTCCAACAAACTTGTGATAAATAAATAAAAATCGGGAAACCCGTTGCTTACACTACAGAAGAAGAGAAATGAAAAAAAAAATTGGAAATCTACACTAAGGGAAGAAATTGGGGCATGATAATTATACTTACCTTTAGAGAAAAAACAGTATTGTAGTCGTCGATTGGATTTGGGAGGGCTTTTGTTTTGCCTCTTTTCTACCATGCGGAGTGAGAAAACTCGGGTTAGTATAGGATTAACAATAAATCTAGATTTACAGAGGACTTCTTACACTAACTGTACAGAAGTTTAAAAAATTGCTGACGTGGGAGGAGGAAAAGAGGGAAAACTTTGGTTTTTCTCTCATGACCCACCAAATTCTCTCGTTCACTTGCCAAAATGGAAGCCCCAAAGCTGAAGTGGAGAAATGAGTTGCTGAACAACCTCTCGATTCACCATCAAAATAAGAACTAAAAAGCTCCACTTCTTCTCCGACCTCAAGAGCATCGGAGCTGGAGCTCCACTTCTTCTCCGACCTGAAGAGCACCGGAGCTGGAGCTCCACTTCTTCTTCGACCTGAAGAGCACCGGAGTTGGAGCATTTTTCGTGTTTGAGCAACCATCATTCTTTCCACTGGTGCAAGCGAGTTCACTATCTTTTCCAGTGTAGCGACGATTTCCTACCCCAGTGACGGTAATTGCCCAAATGTAATTTCTATTTATCTTCATGCTGTGATTTTTGAACACACACCACAGAACGTTTCATTGTACATTTGGGGAAAAAATTAATCCTGTCATTTTGAACACACACCACAGGAATGAATACACTGTAATATGCTATCAAAATTTTTTATGAATGTTGCTGGAATATGTACCCTCCCATGCAAAGGAATGAACACACACACACACACATGTACATGAAGTCATATATTAGCAAAACCTTCCTATGCAACTGAATGCCACAAAATATATACCTCCATATGCTAATCTAAAGGAAATTTTCTAAAGTTCAAAAAAAAAAATTAGGGCTATTAAGCACTGTGATTGATCGCTTTAACGTTACTATGGTTTAAGACATTTGTTTGCTTAACAAAATTTGCTACATGAAATCACATCCATGTTGGCTTAACAATGTATTTATTATCTTGTCCAGGCAATTTAGTTGCAACACTGAAAGTATGGAAGATGTGAATGAAGACCCTTTATTGCTATCTGATGATGAAATAGTTGGGGATAATATCAATAGTATGGACAGAGAACCGTTAGGAGAAGATAAAGAGGTTGCTCCGGAGGTCGGTATGATTTTTGATGGGGAAAAAGAGTTGTTTGATTTCTATAAGAGATATGCTTATGCCGTCGACTTTCCCGTGAGGAAAAGGAATTCGAAAAAGGGTGACGACGGAGTTGTTAGATATATCACATTCACATGTAGCCGTGAAGGTCGAAGAGGCAGTAACACAAACATTACTTTGAAGTCATAACCAACAAGTTAAACAGATTGTAAAGCGAGGATAATCGCATCTGTAGATAATGTTGGGAAATGGAAAATTAACACCGTCCATCTCAAGCATAATCATAAAACAAGTTCTTCCAAGTCGAGGTTGTTTCGATGTAATAGAGAATTGACTGCAAATGCGAAAAGAAAGCTTGAATTGAATGATATGGCAGGAATTTCATTGCACAAAAGTTACAACTCCACAGTTGTGGAAGCAGGTGGATACGAGAATATGACTTATGCTGAAAAGGATTGTCGCAACTATATTGAATAAGTGAGACGGTTACGACTTGGAGAAGGAGACGCCATAGCTTTACGATCCTACTTTTCAAAGATGCAAGCACGGTGTTCGGGATTTTATTTTAGTATGGATTTGGATGACGAGTCATGGCTTCGAAATATATTTTAGGCAGATAATAGATCTAGGCAAGCATACAAAGAGTTTGGCGATATTGTTACCTTTGACACGACGTATCTTACAAATAAGTACGACATGCCTTCCGCTCCTTTTGTTGGAGTTAATCACCATGGACAATCAATATTGCTTGGTTGTGGTTTGTTGTCGAATGAGGACACGGGTACATTTGTGTGGCTGTTCAAGACATGGCTCAAGTGCATGTATGGCCATCCTCCCCACGGAATAATTACGGATCAAGATAAGGCCATGCAAAATGCGATTGAGATTGTTTTTCTAAATACAAAACATAGATAGTGTTTATGGCATATTATGAAAAAGTTGCCAGAAAAGTTAGGTTATCAAATTTTCTAAGGTTCAATTTTCTCATCCATACATGGATTGGTATATGATTCCCAGGGTATTGATGAATTCGAAGAAGGTTGAAGAACGATGGTTGAAAAGTTCGAATTGCATGAGAATGTTTGGTTGTCGGGCTTGTTTGATAATAGAAGACGTTGGGTACCGTGCTTTCTGAAGACAACATTCTGGGCAGAGATGTCTACAACACAACGAAGTGAGAGTATGAATGCATTCTTTGATGGATATGTACATTCGAAAACCTCATTGAAACAGTTTGTGGAACAGTACGAAAGAGCACTTTGGAGCAAGGTCGAGAAAGAATTCCAGGCTGATTTTAGATCATACTCTCAAATGGTGCCTTGTGCAACTGCCTTCGAAATGGAAAAGCAATTTCAATCGATTTATACAATATCCAAGTTCAAGGAAGTGCAAGATGAGTTCATAGGGAAGGTGTATTATGATGTCGTTGCAACTTCAGATGGATTTTTTTGGGACAAAGTACGAGATTCGGGGGTCTATCGTGTATCCCGTGCGCAAGAGAAAGAAAACATATTTTGTGTCATTTTGAATGGACACACGTGAAGTTCTTTGTAGCTGCCATTTGTTTGAGTTTCGAGGAATTATTTGTACGCATGCTATTACAATATTAGATCGTAATGATGTCACGACAATGTCGGATAGGTATATAGTCAGGAGATGGAGGAGAGACGTCAACAGACCACACACAAGAGTTGCGGTGAACTATGACGGGTTGGGTAGTACTCCAGAACAAATCCGATATGATGATCTGTGTCAGACATTTTCAGAGTTGGCTGACCTTGTTGCAAATGATGAAGGGCGGGCTCGTGCGGTAAAAGATTGGATAAAATCTCAAGCTGCAGAACTGAGGTCTTTAAATTCGAGTAATGGTCGTAATGTTCTATCCCAGCCAAGTATGCATTTACTAGGCCAATGTAATAAGGTCACAAAGTCCTAGCGGCGTGAATATATTAGATCCTAAGACGTCGAATAGAAAGGACGCACCAAGGAAACTTCGGAGGAAAAGTGCTGGAGTCCACTTCAAAGAAGGCTAAGGTAAGTTGTTTTACTAACCTCGTCAAATAGAAAAGGAGCTTCGCTACGAAATCTAATTTCTTTCCATGTATATGTACAGGCTACTTCGACTAAATCCAAAGGAAAGAGACCAGTCGTTGGCCATATTGATATGGAAGAGGCTGCATCGGACCTTCAGTTATCTGGACAACTTCATGATTCTCAGCCGACCCCGTTTTCATATTTGCAACTGTTGCTGGTAAGTTTATGATTTTCATTTAATTAAATTTTACTTCATGCTTACTTCAAGTTCCATTAACGTTGTCATATGATACAGGGTGATGTCCAAAGCCAAGTGTGTACCCAACAATTATCGTCATCCACTTTTATCCCTCTGTCGTCTACTAATATTATATTCAATTCTCAAGGTGAACATGTGTTGATGCCGTATCATACGTTAGGAACTTCATCTCCATGTTTTACTCAGGTAAATGTTTACTTTGTTTCCTATGCGTTTTGGGTGAAAACATTAAATGATCACTGATAATGAAATTGCTGCATTCTATTTTCAGCTCTATGGTGGAACTCATTTCCCAAGACCTTCCCACATTGCAGACGACCTTGCTCGTATTCGGCCAGTGGTGTCAAATCACAATGATGATGAAATCTCGTATGGGAATTGAAATGGGAGCAAAAGCCATTGCAAAAATTGGTCGCTAATTGGGCAAGAGTGGTTAAAGTATTAGCATCCCATGTGAACTTCCTGAATTATAAACATATGTGTGGAACTCGATTTTTTTGTCATTCGTGTGTTGGTTTTATGTCATCCCATATGTATTGATAAACATTTTCAGACATCCTGCAGGATATTTTCCTATCATTGTGTATGACTATTGTTCATTTCAAATTTTGGTGGACCTTTATAGCGTCCAGTTATATGTTTATATAATATGGAATGGCCATCAATGTTGTGGTTTGGATTGTTTTGTGCAATAGAAATTTTGAATTTTAGGTAAACAAGAGAATGTCTGGGATATTACTTATGTTCTCTTCCATGGGATGATCTGCTTGTTCAGTTGAAAACAACCTGTATGTATTTTTTTTCTTGATTCTGACCAAAACTTGGCAACACATTCTTTCAACAACCAATCTTTGCAATTCAGTGACCCAGATAAGTAAAAATGCCATACACAATTTAGAGACCAGTTTGGAAGAAAAATAGAATTCATTCATCATGGTTTACACAAGTTTTTCAACACCAACTACATATTTCAATAACGGGAAATCCCATGCCTTCCATACAAAATGCACATCAATACTTGATTCAGGCTTTCAAGATGCAAAATGAAGCCTTACACATCTAAACTGCACATTTACTACAGCCGACACACACACACAAACAACCCATAACATGGTCCTGCTACAGCCAACACACACAGACAAAACAATAAAATTGTCCTGCTACTTATGAAGCTCGGCCCTTTCCCTTTCCAGCCACTTCAGCACTTTCCTTTCCCTTGCGGAATGTTACATTCAATGTTATCTCGATGTCTCGTTTTTCGGCTATTCGAGCTAGGCTATCGAACATGATTGGCAAATCTTCGTCAACTTCATCTATGGCTACAGGATTCACCACTTCATTCATTGTACTCGATTCACCACGTGATTCTTCATTCTCCACCCAAAAGAAATAGCCACAATTATTACTGCACGTTCTAAATAATCGCCCTTGGTTGTCTGTCTTTCTTTCAACTTCAAAGCATTTCTCCCATCCCCATGGACATCCTCATTTTACTAGACAATCATTGAAGAAGTGCTCTATACTTCTACAAGCGTGACAAACACCAACATTCTTCTGTCTCATCCTGAACGCGAATCAAACACCAATATCATCAGCGATTCTACTAATCTGACCAATTACACTAGTATCTCACAAGAATTTACAGAGAATATAAATGTGAAATACTGAACAAGTTTCGAAAGAACCTTACTTCACTTATACCTATTGTGGACTGATCGGCTGTTGCTAGTGGAGGTCAGTGGGGCGTCTGTGAACAGAGGTGAGGAAACTTAGTTTTCCAGAACTTATATCACTTACAGTTTCGAAGGAAAGATACTTCACTTACAGTTTGGAAAGAAGATAGAAGCTTATGTTTTTCACAAATTTGGGGTAAATTATGCTGTTCCAGAAGAAGCCCCAAACTTCTGTATTTGATAACTTCGGGGTAAATTTCAGAAGTAGACCCACACGACGGAGGTGAAGATACCTGGCTCTTGTGGACTGACTCGTCGGTCGAAGGTGGAGAAGAGAGCGGCGTATGTGATGGCGGTGAGGAAGAGTGCGTTGTTTGCGGACTCTGGTGAAGACGAAGGAGGCGATTTGACTGTGGGTTCAACGTGAGATGTGCGCACTTTTAATGTCGCCGGACAGAGGTTGACCTCAAGTGGGCGTCGAAGGAGATGAAGTGGGTTGTTCCTAGGGTTCCCAATTTTGAACGGAGACGGGAAGGAGAATGAAATGAGGGATGAGGAGTGTTTTCTTTTTCAGTCATTTTTTTCTCCTTAAAACTCCAGCTGCCACGCCATTCTGTATGGCCTCTGTAAGACGACTTTCTGTATGTGTAGTGCGACCGTTTATTGTAATGGCTTTGGGTATCACATTTTGGAGAGATATGTTGTATATAATATATAATATGTTAGATATAACAAAAGACCATTGGACCTGACTTTTAGAATTAGTGTAATGAATATTTAAGGGTAAAATAGGAAACAAACAAATGCATCCTAGATGAATGGTACCGGCAAGATTCTCTCTTTTAAGGTAAATAGGACTAGTAAAAGTAGATGCATTAAAGAGCTCTCGAAGCATAACTCAGTTGTGCAAAGGATAAGAGTGATGTTATCTTACGCCTTACTCGCAGTCACAGTGTGGAAGTTCGATTTTTGAGACGTGAAATTTGACTTTTTGTAGGAGCAGTGTACAGGCAACTCTTATTTCTTGACATGGTGAGATACAGTCCACAATTTACCTCTCTCACAAAATTTTAGGGGCGGACGATGAAACCCTCAAAATTGGGGTTCAACCTTTATAAATTTAAAGAACCAAAGGGACCAATCCGATGTAGGTTAGGTTTGATATGGTCCAGGGGAGCATTTAATTTACCCTATTAATTAAGTATTGGGCTTCTTCTACTCTATCTCTTAACCCCAATTTCCTCATTCTTTTGCTTCTCCTCCGACGATGTCATCAACATTATTCTCAAACATGAAATATTCCGATAGCTTAACAGTTGTCGGAATCTCAATCTGCACTGCAATAATCTGTGAGGCTATCTCCTGGCTCTTAATCTACCGTACTTCATCCTACAAATCCCTCAAATCTACCATCGACAAGGCCTCCAAGAAACTCGAAACGATGAAAACCACGGATCCTAATACTGCAACAATTGTCAAGAAATCCAAAACCAAGAAAATCGATCGGGTCGAATCATCCTTAAAGGAATCCAGTCGAGACCTCTCCATGTTCAAATTCAAATCTGGCGGAGTAGTTGCCCTTGTTTTGTTCATGGTTTTTGGTTTACTTAACAGCCTTTTTGAGGGGAAGCCCGTCGCAAAAATCCCATTTGTGCCCATAAAGCTGGTGCAGAAGATGAGCCACAGGGGATTGTTGGGGGACGATATGACGGATTGTTCGATGGCGTTTTTGTACTTTTTGTGCTCTATTAGTATAAGGACTAATCTTCAGAAGTTCTTGGGCTTCTCACCGCCACGTGGAGCAGCCGGGGCCGGGCTCTTTCCCATGCCGGATCCCAAATCCAATTGATTAGGTTTCGGTGGACTTTCTCCATCTGGTACTGATTTTTGTTGGGTTTTGTTTAATTTAATGTTTGGATCGGAGACTTTTAGATAATTATATGGTGGGTATGATGAATAATAATTTCAGCTATTGCTACTTGTGGAATTTTTAATTAACCTAATACTATCTTTGTTGCATTTTGATTAGTAGTTGCTTTACTGGGAATTTTTTACCCAAAGAACAATTTTTAAATAAGCAAATTGTGATACTTGAATTTTTGCGAATAAATTATGAAAATTTTAGTCTAGTTTTGAGGTTTTCAGTTAATTGAGTAAATGCATTTTTCTTTCATATATTTGCTACTAGTGGAGTAATGTGATTTAGTTATCAAAATCAAATCTTGAATAATTGATTATTTGTCTGAAGTTACTGGTGTATTTTATTTTTTAAATTCGGATCTCATGACTAGTGTTTGTAGGATAACTGATTCAGGCTACATTCTAATGCAAGCCAAGGATTACCTATTGAATCTACGCGTAATTCTTAAATAATAAATGTTATGCACTATCGGATAATTGTCGTGTGTTTAGAAGTTCAGGCATGTTCTGAAGTCCATTTTAAGGAATTTTGCACTGTTAAACTGTATAACTCTCGAGTTCGTTTTGGCTTGATTTTGCACTATTAAACTGTATATAAACTTGCAGTAGTTATCTAAGTGATGGTTTGATTTATTAATGTATGCCTTAAATACTCTGCAATGTTTTGCTATGAAGAACATGTTTCGTTGTGCTTAAAAGTTAATTTTCCTGTTAAGTAAGCTTTGTTGGTAAAAAAAATATAACTTTGAGAATCATGTTTGTACAGTAACTTAACAGCAAGTTTGGCTTACGTTTAAACACGATAAAACATAAGCTCCTCTCTCTCTCTCTCTCTCTCTCTCTGTTATACATTCCAACACTGGTGGAAATTATTTATTTCTTTATTTATTTGGGGGTGGGTTGGGGGGGGGGGGTTTTTTTTTTTTTTTTTTTTGGGGGGGGGGGGGGGGGGGGGGGGGGGCAATTGCCCTCCACCAAGATTTGAAAATTTAAAAAGACGTACTAAAATACATTATATTGTGCAAAAAAAATATTTTGGCTATGAATTGCCCCCACCGCAAATTGATTAGTTAAAATTGCCTCTTATTAAAATTTTTGGCTCTGCCCCTGCATTCTTAACTTTCTTTCTATGTGCTTTTAAAATAATTTTGTCCTGAGCTTACCACTCTTTTCACTTATGTGTTTAAACACATTCCATCTTTTGTGTTGCGGATCTTCTCCCTAAGTTTGTATTTACTATTAAGAATTCAGTTATATCTTACTGCTTTAGACATCATTTTACGCCTTCCGGTTTTTGTGATGCTTTTAATTAAGATGTTTTACATTAATATCTAAATATTTAAAATTTTGGAAACAAGGTTCATTAATATCTTCAAAATGTTTGCGGATAAAATTTTACTCTTCCCTTAAATTTCTTTTCATCCAATCAAAACTCTAGGCATCATTCGATCAATTCGGTTCTCTAATAGCAAAACAGATAAAGTAGAAAGTTGGCAACTTCTGTGAAATATGAATGGAGGGGATGTTTAGATTACTTATAGGATTGCTTCAATCACGGTTAATTACCTATTTTTCAACAATTTTTATTCAAAAATCAACTGTCAGCTTATTCAAGCAAATAGAACGTTCAAGTGCATTAGACTAATTTTGAGGTTCATATGTACACCCTACCTACAAATCATTTCTTTCTTCTGCAACCTAACTGCTAAGGTAGAATTGTTTAAGAATACAAAAATTCACACCTGAAGCAACAAACAGCGATGCATTGAGTGAAATAGCTTATGGCTGCATCATACAAGGAAGGATTTTTAGCCACCAAGTTTGTATTTACTGTATTTACAAGGAAGGATTTTTATCAGTGTGGTGGTGCTTGGTGGCTAAAAATCCTTCCTTGTATGATGCAGCCATAAGCTATTTCACTCAATGCATCGCTGTTTGTTGCTTCAGGTGTGAATTTTTGTATTCTTAAACAATTCTACCTTAGCAGTTAGGTTGCAGAAGAAAGAAATGATTTGTAGGTAGGGTGTACATATGAACCTCAAAATTAGTCTAATGCACTTGAACGTTCTATTTGCTTGAATAAGCTGACAGTTGATTTTTGAATAAAAATTGTTGACAAATAGGTAATTAACCGTGATTGAAGCAATCCTATAAGTAATCTAAACATCCCCTCCATTCATATTTCACAGAAGTTGCCAACTTTCTACTTTATCTGTTTTGCTATTAGAGAACCGAATTGATCGAATGATGCCTAGAGTTTTGATTGGATGAAAAGAAATTTAAGGGAAGAGTAAAATTTTATCCGCAAACATTTTGAAGATATTAATGAACCTTGTTTCCAAAATTTTAAATATTTAGATATTAATGTAAAACATCTTAATTAAAAGCATCACAAAAACCGGAAGGCGTAAAATGCAAAATAGTTCAAGATAATAGCGTGATTAAGAGTATGTATTGAACATAAGATTAAATGAATAATATAAAAAATTGTAACTCATTTCCAAGGTGACAAACTCTAATAGATACTCAATAGATTAATTATCATGCATTTTAATTTATTAATAAAGTATGTTTAAAGTCTCCAAAAAGCCCATCACCATCCTTGCTCAACTTATGAATTTTATTGTAGTTTCCTCAACCATTTTTGCACCATTATGTGGAAAAGTATTCAATTAGAAGGCCTTTTTTTCCCTTCATTTTAGAGAGTATAAGTCTAGAATTAATAGTTGTGAGAACTTACGCAACACCTACGCTTGTAGATGGAAGCTTACTGTGTGTACAGAAACTGCACACACAGAACAGACACAGAAGGGAATGGGTGGGGAGATTTTTGGCATTTTTATCACAATATGTGATTAAGCCAAAATCAGTTACTATTGCTGCTAAAGGTCATTATTATTATCATCCTTATTATAATCAGAGGTTCGTTGTGAGTAAAAAACCAACTTTTTCTCCTATTCAACTTAATTCCTTCCCACCCAAGGAACTTAGCCTTGCAGAGAAGGTCGGAATCCACGCAGAAGCTATGTTATGCAATGGTGGCAATGAAGTTGAGGCAGAAAAACTGGATTTGACACTCAAGCTCTAGATACATACATATGTGTGTTTGTTTGATCGTCTTTATGTATTATCCTAGAATATGTAGCAAAATAAAAGAGAAATAATCTCTTTAATGTTAGTTTTCTATTATGCGTGTATATGTTTTTTGTTAGTATAGAAAAGCAAGTATTACTCCTTTCAGATGTTGTGCTAATTTGTTTTATTAGTAGAAATTCCTCAATTTGGATATTAAGTGCTTAATTTGATAAAACAGTAATAAAATTTTATCTACTGGTCAAACTTCTTTAAGCAGGATCTAGAACTTTTACCGATTTTTCAACTGTACATCTTATCAACTTTTATAAAAAAAAAAAGAAAAATTGTCAAACAACCCCTAATAAATAATGCTCAATAGTTAATATATATATGGCCCATAATAGAGATTGTGTTTCTATAACGATTGATTTGGATTTGAACTATGTAATTGCTAAGAAGCATGATGATCGATGTCAATGTTTAATAGATACACCCCCATGTGTGGGCCCCCTCCATGTGAGGGGGTGTATATCCATGTATACACCATGAGATGTACTCATAACATTATCCAATAGTTAATCATGTATTCATGGCAATTAACAATGAACAAGTTTCCCTAATGGTTGAATTGGATTGTGTCAATGTCGAGAGCGTGAAGATTGATTTGGACTGTATAACTTCTAGGAAGCATGGAGATTGGTGTCTTCAAGCTACACCCTTCTCTGCTACCAAATAATAGAGTTTTCAGAGAAGACCAAAGCAAATGATTTTGATTTTCACAGTCAGATGAAAAGAATAAAGATTCAAATATTACCTATTTACCCTCCCCACAGCGACGAGTCTGTTGTCTTGGGAAGCGTTGAAGCTTGCTTCTTCTCTAGAGTCGGGGAGAATCGCAAGTGAAGCTATTAGTCAATTCCAATCGAAAGGCTTTCACAATTTTTGATTTTTAATGGACCTCTCTGTAGGATTCAAACCCAAATGAGTTCTTTCTAACTACTTGGCCTGTAGTAAATATCTGGTTCACTGCGCTTAATAGTAAACGTATCCATGGCAGTTAATTGTGAATTCCCCTAATAGTTCATACACTCATGACACTAACTAGTGAACATAATTCCATTTCTAAATGATATAATACTTCTTATATTTTTTCACGTTTTCTAGTGAAACAAAAACATTCCGTAAAGACATATATGCAGTATAATATTTGTTATAAACACCATCCACTTAAATAAGCATGTCTTTGGAGCTTTTCTATAGAAATACATTTATATTAACCAATAAAACGTTAAAAACACGAAACCGTAGAAATATAGATCTGTTGCTGCAATTTCAGAAATGTTCACATTGGCACGAGATGTGACGCATTACGTGACAAACCGAAGTCGGAAGTTGACGTATTTTTAGTTGCCGTACAACGCCAAAACCCATTTAAGGATTTCGAAACCAACAATAAATACAAAGTACTCTTAAATCACTGAGATCAACATGTGCAATTTCCCACTCCACGTGTATACAAGTTCGATACGAATACGGTGAAAGTCATCCCAAATAGTGATGTAGAAATGGCATGGCAAGTACCGTAGAGGAATATCCTACTTACGTGTTGTTCGCTCACTAGACTGCTTTGTCAAATTTCGATACATATAGGGCCAAATATTTTTTTTAAACGTTTTTTAACATATATTTTGACACCATGAAAGTCATCCGAAGCGGTGATGTTGGTATTGTAGAGGAACACTTCAAAGAGTCCACTCAGTAGATGAAAATCTTACCTAATAATTTACCCAATATACTACTCAGTTATATTTTAAATTATAAAGTAGTAACGAGATGGATGCCCTAACAATATTGTACCAAAGAGTTCACTTTGCTGGACTAACCTTCAAATCTCAATATATTGGAAATTAATTATTATAATCACAAATATTGAGACAAATCTTTTCATTCTTTTTTCCGTATTTGCATTGACACATTGACAAATATTGGAAATTAATTAGTTAAGCCCTTGTTTGAACCATACATTTTTCAATAAAATAATATTACACGCAAATCTAAAACGCTTCCCTATTTTT